ACCCATGGGGATACATTCCGAGTCATGCATTCTTAGGAGACGTCATTGTGCAAACATCATCGAGTGCGCTTACACAAACCTGGATGGTAAATTCTACTACACACTAAGCTGTATGGCATAGACTGTTGCTCCCGGGCTTCAAACTGGTCCAGCACGTTACTGTCTGAAATATTGTAGGCAATTGTAACACAGTGATAAGTATTTTAGTATCTCAACATGTCCAAACATAGAAGAAGTACAGTAAAAATACTGTATAAAAGAAAAAAAAAACTGGTACGCCTATATAGGGCAGTTCCATTATAGTCTTATGGGACCACTGTTGTATATGAGGTCTTTGACTGAAATGTCATTATGTGGTACATGACTGTATTTGCTAACTTATAGAATTAATCCTTCTGGTCAGGGTGCTCAGGGCTACAGATTGGGTTCTATATTTAAGGACAATGCTAAGATTGGATAGACTCTGTAAAAACACACAGTTGGTGCAACTTACAAAGTTTTACAAGACATCACTTGGCAGAAGCAGAAGCAGCCTTGTGGTCAAGGAGAAGAGAAGGTCAAGAAGGTGCTTTGGGAAGTCTTTCATCAGAGGGTCTTTTCACAGGTAGTGAGAACCACAATCAAAAGCAAAGAGAGGTGACTCCTCACCAGAATAGTCACCCTGGAAAGGCTAAGGAGGAACCCAAGGGAAGAAAAGGAGACTCTCTAAGCCTGCTTGAATTTAAAAGGCAAGTGGCACAGGGAGAAAGATGCCTACAAAGGGTAAATCTGATCTTTTTTGGAAGACAAAGTTTGTGATGTGCTTGTACCTTTTTCAGGAAAAGCCTAAAAATAAAGCCAAATATATTTGAGCCTTGGTCTTTCCATGCTGATACCAGAGTTGAGAATGCACACTGAGCCAACATTGCTACAGTACCTAGGCATGTGCCCAGGATGTGACACACTGGCATTTAGGCTCCATAAACATGTAGATCACAAGTGGTAGGCTTGCCACTATTTTCTATTTGACCGATCACAACGTTGGCCAAGCACCAATCACAGGCTTCCATTTGAATCCTTCACATTCTGAGCTCTTCTCAGAAGAAAAGGTCCATGTTACAAAGGCACAGTCTGGTCTGGCAGCACAGCCTCCAGCCTGCAGTATAGGCGTTTGTACAATAATTTACCTTAGTTAGTGCAGAACAGGCGTGACCTGGGATGACTTCACCTAACCTACTCAATCTCTGTGCAAATCTCATTTGGAACCATCCATTTACCTCCTTGCCTACACCTCATTCTCCCATTGTTCTGTAATTATTTATTATCTGGGTCCTTGATTGTATTGTTTCTAGCAGTCATGGAAACTCTATTGTTAGGGGGAAAATGCCTGCCCAATTAGATTCCTGGGGATGGGGAATAAAGGATGTTAGAGCTCTTAATATACAGCCCTCTATGTCCAATTTTCCTAAAAATGAAAATTGCCAAAAAGCAAAGCATGCAGGAGATGTATGGTTGGATGCCATCGCAGCCTCACGCTCCTGGTGATGGATGGTGCCCCCGAATGACTGGGGGCACTCGCTAACTCACTGCCATGGCTCCTGCTTTCAGGGAAGCCAGCACAGCCAGCCCTCAAGAGCGAATCCCTCTGCGCTAACTATCTCTTTAACTGCTTCACTTAGTCACTCCTGGCCTTTTCCAAAACTAAAACACCAACGGGAACAGAGAGTATCTCAGCCCAGCAAATGACAAAGCTGGAAGGTGGCGCCAGGACTCTGTCTCTCTCTCTCTATTTTTATTTTTAGGGTTCTAATGTATATATTTTAGCATTTGATCCCACTTAAAATATTTACTTCGGCCGGGCGCGGTGGCTCACCCCTGTAATCCCAGCACTTTGGGAGGCCGAGGCGGGTGGATCACAAGGTCAGGAGATCGAGACCATTCTGGTCAACATGGTGAAACCCCGTCTCTACTTAAAATACAAAAAATTAGCTGGGCACGGTGGCGCGTGCCTGTAATCCCAGCTACTCGGGAGGCTGAGGCAAGAGAATTGCCTGAGCCCAGGAGGTGGAGGTTGCGGTGAGCCGAGATTGCACCATTCATTGCACTCCAGCCTGGGTAATGAGAGCGAAACTCCGTCTCAAAAAAAAAAAAAAAATTTACTTCATGATTTGTGGTAGGGGAAATGTCATTTGAAAAAATTCCTTGAGCTTAATTACAAAAGATGTAAATGTGGTCTCACTTGCAGAAAAAAAGTTACTCTTAACAATGAGGTGTAAATTGGTGTCTGCTTAATCTGTTTACAGTAGGAATAAAGCCTAACACTCACCTCCTCACCCTTACTTTTGCAGTAGTACCTGGGAAATTAATATCTTCTGGGGAGTTCTTGCAGCATCTCTGATTTTTTAAGGAAAAAAAAATATGGAAGTTTTAGGCTTGATGTTTCTACCAGCTCTAAGGACATTTATTTTGCTCCATTTGGGGCATCTATTTTGAACCATGGACCACAGCTACACTGTCTGACCTCAGCCATGGACAGCAAAAGTCCAGCCTTCTCTGGCCTCTCGTCTCCCTCTGACAATTATGGCCTCCTGCACATCCCAGAATGGAGTGAAAGTGATATGGGAACTAGACTGTTATTTATACAATGACCTTGGGCTCCTGGGGGAATTGCAGGCCCTATTCTCTCACTTACGATGTTTTACATTTCAAAGAACCTAGCTCTCTTTGATATTAAAGAATGAAATGTGCAATGTGATTGTTATTGTTTTATGACCTTTAATAGGTTAATCAGGCTGCCTCAGGTTTTCCAGTGTGTGATTCTGTACCAAAGGAGATGATCTGCCTCATAGTAGATGGATTCTGACAAAAGGGCTCAACATTAACATTTGAGAAGATGACTATACCTGGGTACCTAAATCCTCAAGAAAAGTGGTGATTTTGCTTACCTCAGTTGCTCTGTGGATAATAGCAGTTTCTCAATTGGCATGATTGACATTTTGGGCTGGAACATGCCTTATTGTGGGGCTATCGTGTGCACCATGGGCTGTTAGGCAGCATTCCTTTTTTTTTTTTTTTTTTTTTTTGAGATGGAGTTTCACTCTTGTTACCCAGGTTAGAGTGCAATGGCACGATCTCGGCTCACCGCAACCTTGGTCCGCCTCCTGGGTTCAGGCAATTCTCCTGCCTCAGCCTCCTGAGTAGCTGGGATTACTGGCATGCGCCACCGTGCCCAGCTAATTTTTTGTATTTTTAGTAGAGATGGGGTTTCACCATGTTGACCAGGATGGTCTCGATCTCTTGACCTCATGATCCCCTCCTCGGCCTCCCAAAGTGCTGGGATTACAGGCTTGAGCCACCGCGCCCAGCAGGCATTCCTGAACTCTACCCACTAGATACCCTTCACAGCACAGCTTCTTTCCAGTTCATGACAATCTAATGCCTCCAGGCAATGTGAAGTGTCCCTGGGGAGGAAAATCAACCCCAGTTGAGAGCTATGAGGATAATTTTTTAAAGTTGAGGTGGGGTGTTCTTTTTGGAATTATGATATGGTTTAGAACCTACTGGCTGCAATGATAATTAATATAATAGTAGCTAACATTTGATAACTCTCTATGAACCAATTAGCACTATGCTAATTGCTTTATAGGTTTGATCTCATTTGATCCTAAAAACAAACCGATCGGATAGCAATCATGATCTGCATTTTAGTTATGGCAACTGAGGCTTAGAGGAGATAGATAATGTGCTCAAGACTGGCCAGCTGTGAAGTGGAAAAGTTCAATATGCCTCAACCCGGAGCTCCCTTGCAGGTGGCACTCATCCCTTTCTGGTGTACATACTACCACTCTCCCTGTGGTTATAATCTGAATATCTGCATGAATTTCAGGAGTTAATCAAGTGCCACTGTGTTAGGGAAGTCACCTATATGCTAAACAGATCTAAGAAAAAAATAAGGCAATGCTTGCCCTCAACTATTGTATGCAAAATGAAAAGTATAATACAGAAATAGGCTAAAATGCAGCAAGAGAGACTAAAGAGGTTAGAGACGGAGTGCTCTGGGACCACAGCCTTCAATGTACCTAAGAGTCACCTGAGGTGGTGTTAAAATGCAAGTTTTGATTCAGCAGATGTGGATTGGAGCCTGGGATTCTGTATTGCTAACCAGCTTCTGGGTGATGATGCCGTTGGTTTGAGGACCTCACTTCAAGCAGGTCACTGTTACTGTGCTGGGAAGTGTAGCTTCCATGCATTTGAGAAGTGAGGCACAACAGTATGGATCTGAGATGCCAAGGAAGCATCACTGCAGAGTGGGAGGGGTAGAAGGAGGGGTGGGAATTGCCGTGGTTGTGAGAGCCACCCTTGTCTGTCAGCCCTGCACTTGGAGCAACGATGGCGTGCCTACACTTGTCGACCACCTACATATACAGCTAAACATCTGCTATTTTTAAAGGACAGATATTAATTTGAAGCACGAAACACCTACCCATTGAACATAACTGATTTCTGCAAACACATTATATTTTCATGAGCAGTTTCATGATTTTGGAAGAGAATGCTTCTTTCTCTCCAACATACTATGATATGGGATACATAAGAAATATCTTCATTTCCCTTCCTTCCCACCACTACAGACACTGAGACATGAATGGCTGTGGGGCTGCAATGGGCCACGCGTTTGTTTAACAAGGACAAAAACTACACATGGGAGGCCAAAAACAGAAGGAGGTTTTTAATCCAGTGAAAATCACTATTAAAATGATAGTGCTGAGGACTGTACACTGCATTACCATTTGTTTAGCTGTGCTTAAAATCAAGTCCTACAATAAACATTCACAAAGCAATGGTTTGGGAGCTGATCTCCAGTCATGTTTGAGGCCTCTTCACCCAGATCACCGAGCCCATGGCAGATCACAAACTGTTTTGCGACATCTGGATTTGACTGGGGGTCAGAAGGAAGGGTATGAATTTTCGGTCACTTGGCTTTCTGAACATATTCAGCTAATTCTTCATTCACATTACAGGAGGACACAGCAGAGGAATGATTTGCTGGGATGTAGAGATGGACCACAGTTAATAAAGGGCTGAGAGACTAAGAAGTGGAACCAACCAATTATTGCTCATATTCTACTCAGATATAAAGTGGGAGGTCTGAATTGTACGTATTTGAGTTTATGGGTATCACCACCATTCAAATTGGATTGTTCACTGATGGAGTAAGATTGTAAGTTCATTTTCATTCATTAAGTCCCCACTACGTGCCAGGCCCTGGGATGAGTAGATAAACACTGTTCCTCCTGTCCTCAGGGGTTAACTGAGATAAAGTGTTCCCCATTCATGAGTCTACCTTTATGATTTTTCCCACTGATTGTACCTACTATTCACTGTACTGATATGTACTCAGTTTTCAGTTTTTTTCCTTAGACCAGCAGTCCCCAGTGCTTTTTGGCACCCGGGTCTGGATCCATGGAATACAATTTTGTCATGGACCCAGGGGGTGGTGATGGTGGGGATGGTTTCACGATGATGCATGCATATTACATTTATTGTGCACTTTATTTCTATTATTATTACATACTTGCCATAATGTAGAATCAGTGGGTGCCCTGAGCTTGTTTTCTAACAACTAGATGGTCCCATCAGGGGGTGATGGGAGACAGTGACAGATCATCAGGCGTCAGATTCTCATAAGGATTGCACAGCCTAGATCCCTTGCATGCAGGTTCACAATGGGGTTTGTGGTCCTATGAGAATCTAATGCTGCTGCTGATGATCTGATAGGAGGTGGAGCTCAGCTTCACTCACTCACCTGCCACTACCTCCTGCTGTGCAGCCAGGTTCCTAAGGCTACTAGTCTGTGGCCTGGGGGTTGGGGACCCCTGCTTTAGACAATCTCAGTTTTCATACTTTCAATCTGGCTTCATCTTAAATAATAGTATTTTCGAAATTATGTATTTGAAGTACTCTCGGGACTGATCAACCAATAGCTAAAATATTAAAATATCCTTCTGTGACTACTGGAAGACAAAGCCTATCCCGGCCTTGGGAGTGTCTACCACCACCCTGGCACTGTGGCCAAGCCCCATGGACTTCCCCAGAATCCAGAAAATTCAGTCAGGCCCAGCACAGGTGGAGCTTCTAACATCCTGATACCATACTCCAGACAGTATCTGTTCTGACAGGCCTGAACCCATTCCTTAATGGTTCTGCTTCCACAAAGCACTCAAGGTTTCTGTTGCACAGTTTTTAGAGGATCTTGTATGCAGTTATCTTAAAAACAAAATAAACCTTCCTGCTCCAAAAGCCTGTTGCATAGCAGTTCCAATTACTAATTCTGCAATATGAGAAGTTATATTTTCTCCAAGGTTCAGATTCTCTCTTCTGTAAAATGAGTATAATGTAAATATTTCCTTCTTTGGGAATTAAATCAAGATTTTTTTCAATCTCAGGGCTACTGACATCTTGGGCCAGATAATTCTCACTTGCGGTGACTGTCCTGTGCCTTGTGTGATGTTTAGCAGCCTCCCTGGCCTCTATCCACCAGATGCCAGTAGCATCCTGCAAGTCATGGTAATCAAAAATGTCTCTAGACATTGTCTAATGTCCTCTGGAGGGCAGAATCACCCCCCATTAGGTATGACTGAAATAACTGAAATACACCATGTAAAGTCTCAGGCTAGTATCAGGCTGACATTATAACCTCAGTAGTATTCAGTGCACTTCCTGTTTCGTACATGCTTGGTATCCTTCTAAGCACTTTAAATCTATTGCTTCGTAAACTGTCACACAACTTTGTGAGTTGGGCCTTGTTATTATTCCCATTTTATGAATGAGGAAAATAAATGCCAGACAGTAAAAGTAACTTGCTTGTAATTCCACAGTAAGTCATTGGCAGAGCTGGGATTTGAACACAGGCAATTCATCTCCAGAGCTTGTGCTCTTAGCCTTTTTACTTTCCTACTCTGTAGAAGAGGAAGTCTCCACAAAAAAGGCATCGTGGTGACAATCACGATGATGATGGTGAGAATGATATTGATGAAAATTACGTTATTGCACAATAGGCTAAGATTTGTATATTAAAATCATATTCCAAATTTTAAAAACTCACAAAGAAGCATACAAGGTACTTGATAAGAAATTCAAATATGGATCATCCATAATTAAATTTTCACATGCCAATGGTTTGTGTATATGCACACACACTTTTCTCAAAATGATTAGAAAACTCTGAAATTTCCCAAAGCCGATAAAGATTAAAAACAAACAATAAAAAAACTTAACATTTCAAATAAAGAAATGTGCATTCTGGTAGAATCCCTAATTGACATTATAAAGAGTTCGGGGAATTCAGAAACTGTGCAAAGACACAGGGCTCTTTGAGAGAAGGAGCTATGAGAAGACACTTTGGAAAATCAGATGCTTGATCAACGCAGGCACCTAAATACAAGTGTGACAAGGGTTGAGGGGCACATGCCGCACTCCCCATGGGTGACTGAACCTTGCATATTTTCCCAGGGATTCTTCTCACCCCAATGTCCTAGGCAGCCAGTATACATCAAAAGCATTGACACAGACTGAATTCTACTTATCAAGGGTGGTATAAGAGAGGTCAGAAAGGCCCATTGGCCTACCATGGTGGCTAGAGAACTATTTCTCTAAATTGTCTTTCCAGTTACTAGCAACAAAAGGAAATATTTTGTGACATTAAATGCCCCTGGAAACAAAGTGTGGGTTTACATAAGTACACATCTATTGTTTCCTCTGACAAAAAAAAACTCATACCCCAAAATCAAAATCAACACAACTAGAATAAGCAAATGTACACACAGAATTCTGATGTGACAGAGATATATATATATGTAAGAATATATACATATATATGAAAGAGAAACTAAAATAAAGACTAAGAATAACAATTCAGAAAGACGCCATTATTGCCTTCCTCTAAAGTTTCAGAATCAAGGCTACCATTGAATTATTAAGTTTGTCATTGTTGAACACAGAAAAATGAGAGCCTTTCTACATTTGACTGAAAATCTTTGCATTTCTACCAGTCTGAAATAGAAACTTGCAATTAAATCAATTAAGCAATGAAAATCAAATATTCCATTAAAATCTAATTTTCCTCATATCTGATTGGTTGTAACTCAACTGAGCTGGAAACAGATGAGAAAGGCAAAATGACTCAAAGTCTGAGACATGGAGACAGGAGAAAGGGAAAATATTTAACATGTTCATAGGAAATTTAATAAGGGCATTTTATTTTCCTTCTGCTTGTGTAAGTTTAACCATTAGGGGTTCCCCAAACATAGGATGTGAGAACGAATGTGGCAGACTGAAATGAGAACAGCAAGATTCCGTTCTCCTCTATCTTCTTTTTGCAATCATGTCATTGAAGTTTCCTATTCCCCTTACAGAATTTGAAAAAGCTCGACCAAGCTCTATTCAGAGGTTGCTGTGTGGTTTCAGAGCTCTCCAGCAGGCCCAGATTTAGTTGCTATGACCAACGGTCAGATTGGAATTGGCTGTGTTTACCGATTCCAGGAGTTAGGGACCCAACATGTCAGGGAGGGATTTATTCTTTTTAGTAGCAAAATGGAGGAGTTGCCTCTTGGGGATTTAGGGAAAGAACATGCCAACTGACTTACACATTCTTTTCCCTTCGTTCTTACAGGTGACACAAGCTGCCGACTTCCATACCAGCAATCCCTCCAAGAATGAAAGGGCAAATCTCCAAATATGAGATGGAAAGTGACTTCTTATGTTGCAGTACAAAAAGCAATACAGTGAGGAGAAGACAGTAACTTACAAGGAAGATGCTTTTCCAGGGTTGAACAGATAGCAGGGGAGCCAACCAAGTTTGAGTTAAATATAATATTGAATATGAATTTTTGAAATATATAAATGAGCAAAAAGAAAAGAGAAAAATAACACTTCATGGGCCACAGTGAGTTTCAAATGTTAAACACAAAGGTGCAGTTGGTCAGTATTTCTCAGATGGCTTTTTGAAATTCAATCGTCAAAACTATTTTTGAGGCCAAACTGCTGAGATCTCGCAGAAAGCTGCTCATGTGTTTGGCTGTCGAAGCCAGCCCCAAATTAGGTAGATCTGAGAAAGGAGAGAGAGCTGCAAAAGCTTTTCCAAGTCCCACTGGAAACAAGGGTGTGTGTGTGTGTGTGTGTGTGTGCATGCACACACATGACTGTGTGCTGGGCAGAAAGGAAAGTGTTTACTTCAACTGGTACCATTGCTTTCCAGAGAGATGAGTGATGGGAAATGTGTGTTTTTAATCCTGACAATTGAAAACAATTAATTTATAAGGATTTTCTTTGCTTTCCTACTCACACTCCCCCCAAGCATCTGTCTACTCTGAGCAATTGGAACAGGTTGGAGGAGGAGGAGGAGGAGCAGGGAAAGAGAGAAGCTCCTTTCAAAGTAAACAACTGCTCTTGAATTCCTTATCTTTGTCACCCTCTTGGCCCAATCTATTTCTTGGTCACATTGATAGTGGTTAGGAATACAGGCTCTGGGGTCGAATTGCTTAGGTCTGAATTGCAGCTCCTCTGTGTACCAGCTTAGGGGCCTTGGGCAAATTACTTCACCTTTCTGTGCCTCAGTAACCTCATCTGCAAAGTGTAAAAGATAGCAGTACACATGCTCTATGGTTGTTATGAGAATTAAACATAAAAGTCACTTAGAATGGTGACCATTGCAAGTATCTTTTCTCCACAGCTGTATCCACAGCTCTGAATATATCTGTCACTGCTCCATCCACCCTCATAACAGGACTACAACCCACAATCCCCTATGCCATTGGACTCATTTAAATGATGAACACTGTATCGTGAGGTCACTGAATCTAACCATCTGATCAAAACGAGTGTCAGAAAATGAATGAAAATAATCATCACTTCCTTTAAAAACACATATGCTCAAGTCTTTCTAAGGAGTCTGGCTGGGTTATCATCTTTTATATTTAGAGTATAATACAGCCAACGATTACATCAAGGCATGGTAACCTTCCTTACTTCAATTTAACCATCGCTCTGGTCCAGAAAAAGGTCATTCCTATTTTAGAGTCAAGATAAATAAGAATTTGTTGTCCATAAAATTGAGGGCAGTACTACAGAATAAGTGAGAAAATGGATATTGCTGTGGTGGGAATTCTGGACAAAAAATTCAATTGTCCAGAGGAAAGCCTATAGGAGTGACCCTCAGGCGCTTCCCACGAGAATCAAGCCCTGTTTGAGGAACTCCTCACCGTGTGCCATTATGTTGTGAGACCTGAAGAGGACCTTTCCATGCTGACAGGAGACCCCCCCGCATCTTACCCTCCTCCTCCCCTTCTCAGTGAGACACTGGACTCTGTCCAGACTGCCTAGCCCACCTGGAATCGTCTAGGTCTTTCTATCACAATACTGCTTTAGAAAAGTCTGTGTGAAGGAGGGGACTCTGGTATTTAACTCCATCCATCAATGTCAACCCCTCTTTCCCCTCTACCCCAACAGCTTGGTCCATTTACCTAAAAGCTGAATAGTCTAAATGGATGGATTTTGTGCTGGTCTCATTAGAAAGGGAAATTAGCCAGGCACCGTTCAGCTGTGCAGAAGGCATGCTGATCCTGAAAGCCCTTTCCAACCCCCGCCCCCAACCTTTTCTTCATCACATATGACGTCCATGATTCCCCTAACATTTCTTAAAGCTTTCATTATCCACCACTCTAGTTTGTGATGAATACAAAGCTCCAAGTTCCCATCTCCTTGTCTCGTTATCCAGCCCAGAGCTAAGCACAGATCTGGACACTATGTGAGAGTAGATGACTTCCTACGCTGTCCTGTTCAGAGTTTGCTTTTGATAAATCAGTGCTATTTATGGACACGGTACTATCGAAATGTTAGGTCCTGCTGCCCCTCCAGTCCCGTTTATACTACCCTCCTCCCAACCCTGTGTTCCTGACACACTGACCTGCTGTCAGCTCTTGGGGACCATAGGCTCCCTGTCACCACTGAGCCAGTGTTCATGTGTTTATGTGTCTGGAATGGTCTTCCCTGCTCCTCAGGTAGTTTACTATTCTTCACCCTTTAGTTTCAGCACATGACTCACTTCCTTAGAGAAATGTTCTCTGATCCCATCAAGCTTGGTCAGTTTCCTTTCCTGCGTGTCATTTAGAATCATGTCTGTCTATCAAAGCACTTTCCCCAGCTTGTAAAATTATGGTTTTATTGGTTGCTTATTTGATTAATATCTTGTTTCTCTACTAGACTACAATTCTGTTCCAGGGAGCAAGAACTATGTCTCATTCATTCATTCATTCATTCAATCTTAACTTACCATTGCATATCAACACCTATCATAGTGCCTGGCAGCTAGCAGATGTTTACTAAATATTTGTCAAATGAATAAAGGTCATGCAACCACGAGGGCTATGCCATTAGGATGTTTAAGAATGTAACTCTTCCAGTTACCTATTACTTTTTATCTCCCTAGAGACGGCAAGAGAAGAAAGCTCAGTCATATATGCAACAAATCTGTATGGAATACCTCCTATGAACCAGGCTTTGCAGAAAAGACAGTCATCTTGCATGCCCAAAGCAGCAAACTCCTCCAGTGCTAATGGGCATTCCCAGGCTACAATGTCAATAGCGTCTGCACAATGCCAACATAGTCCCTTTTATTCTGGGGAGGTGGGGGAAGGATGGGAGCTCATCTCTTGTCCTTAGTAATCTCAGTGACATTCAGTCTTGACTGAATATGGTGGCTTCCTAAGCAGTGCTTCACAAATATGAGATTAATATTAGCAGCTCCAGAGAATCGAGGTAAAAATCATGGGAAAGAATTATCATTCTCAAAATTAGTACAAAATTAATACTAAATAAAAAACAAATGATGACAAGTGAAGTTTTCTGATGTATTGAAAAAAGACTACAGCACCCTTTTGACTCTGCCTAATGTGCACCTGAGTATATTTTTTCAGCTTGAACTTTAGGATTTTATGGAGTTCTGATTAATAACACTGCTATTCCAGGCTATTTGGTACAAGTGGACCAAGAATTTTGCCGCCTTGCCTAGCTCATTCATTTGTGATAGCTTTGCAATGACAATGGCCTAGAGATACTTTCTAGGGCACTTGAGAATTTCGATTAATAAGTAATAGACTTAAGTGATTTATTGCAGGTATTATGCTTTTTCTCCCCAGAAAACCCACAACCTAGCTGTTCAGGGAATGAACTATTTGAGAACGATTGCCAAGGAGCTGTTAACTTCTGTGCCTGCCTGACTTGAAGGAGTTCGGCCACATCCTCCTGTTCCCTTACCAATAGCCTAGAAGTTAACCCCAACTTGGGAGCCTTCGTGATTCAAGTCCCCCAGAGATGGCCATTAGCTGTCCCCATAAAGAGCAATATTGAGACCTTTCAAATTCCATAGAAAAGAATGAACATGTGAACGCTGTGCCCCTCAAAGGCACACAAGGGAGTAAGTTTGTCCACCATTTAACTTACACCAAATTGATGCCAGCTTTTGGCAAAAGGAAACAAATAAATACATACACAGATTAAATAATTCAAAACTTATATTTTATGGGTTTATTTATTTTTGTGTGTGTATGTACGTGTGTGTATGTACGTGTGTGTATCTCCATATAGAGAGATTGGTTAAGTGTTATGGAGAAATAAAATAACTTATAAACTTATATTTTGCTTATCAATTTGCTCATTAGCTTAGTGTAAAAGACATATATTTATTATATACTTGCTTATTGCTTACTGTTGACAGATATATAGAGGTATGAATGCACAGATAGATAGATAGATAGATGAGTGGGCAGATGAATAAAGAATCCATAGCCTTATGTTTTGCCTACAGGTTGCTTATTGCTCATGCGTTTACTGGGTCTCTTTCTATCGGAAAGTGAGTGCACTGATAACAGCGGTCTAGTATTTCTTGTTCATGTCTTAATTCTCAAGGCCTAGAAAAGGGCCTAACTTATATTCAACACTATTTTCTGACATAATAAGCACTTTGCACTTTTTCATATATAAATACACATGCATGCTATACTAGGAGGTACACACACCTCATGGATGGCTCAAGGGATTTTCATAAGTAATTCTGATTATATTTAATCTCTCATTTCCATAATGACAGTGACTTTAGAATCTCCTCCCCTAACAATAGGACAGCTCTACTATATAGAAGGTTATAGCTAGATGTGGTGGTTCACGCCTGTAATCCCAACACTTTGGGAGGCCAGGGCAGGCAGATCACCTGAGGTCAGGAGTTCAAGACCAACCTGGCCAAGATGGTGAAACCCCATCTCTACTAAAAATACAAAAATTAGCTGGGCGTGGTATAGCTCGTGTCTGTAGTCCCAGCTACTTGGAGGCTGAGGCAGGAGAATCACTTGAACTCTGGAGGTGGAGGTTGCAGTGAGCCAAGATCATGCCACTGTGCTCCAGTCTGGGTGGCAGAGCAACACTCCATTTCAAAAAAAAAAGAAAGTAATTTATTGTGTAGAAAGTACTCCAGCCTGCAGGGATGCACGTGGTGTCTGGGGTGTTGTCAGTGTGTGAAAGATTCCGCTCCTCTAGAACATACTGCCAGACCACAGATCGGCTGGCTGCTATTAACAAATTCTTGGATGCAGGAGGGGTGTGCAAAGAGGTCTGCATAATGAGGTTCCTCTTTCTCCCTCCCTGTAATGTCAGAGCCATAAATGGCCACCACTTAACCAAAATCAAAAGTAATTTCTGACTCCTTGGTGGAAAAAGAATATTTATACTAATATTTTTGATCAAGAGTTGTGAGAGACTGGCACTAATGTAAATCAGTGCTCAGGGAATCCATCACCGTAATAAAAATCTATGCTGGGCACAATATGCTTCAGTAGTACAGCAAACCAGCAGTACATACATTTGCCTCTAGCTCGTAGCTAGGTATATTCACTGCACCATATGCTGGTTTCTTTAAGTAACCCATTACACAGAAATTAAATATCTTGTGACAGATTGTTTTGACAGTGGAAAAAAAAGAAAGCGAAGAGAGTGGGAGAGATTTAATTTTTTAAAAAATGCATTTGACTGAAGGCAAAACGTTAGGTAGATGTTAATTTAACAGATGTCTAGTTTTGCATCATCAGCCTGAAACAGGCAATTTCTGGCAAGCCCTCTCACCACATCGCAAAGCAAAATCCTCTCAATTCCACATGGATATGCCTTTCACAACCTTCCAAGTGAGCCGTTTTCATTCAAAGGAAATGCCTGAAATTACTCAGGGAAGATGCTAACACCTGGCAATAGTTTTGAAGGGAGAGTCCATGAATGCGTAGAAGTATAATGGAACGAAAGTTAGCTCACAGCAACATTTTAGTTATAGAAAAAGCAGAAGGAAATGTATTCACACTAAAAAAAAAAATACAGCTAACCCATCATAAAGTTACTGTGTATGATAAAATCACCTCCATCCCCACAGTGGTTACACGTAGAGTTCTTTTTTCAAATCTATCATACAGGTACATCAAATCTCAGGTGCCATTATTGAGATGTTGTTTGAGAACACAAGGCATCTGAAGAGGGACGCTTTAGGTCCTCATTGCTTTTAGGCTGCTTCTTTTGGAAAAACCCCACTCCTCCATATTAGGCCAATACAGAAATCTAATAGTTACGAGTTGTATAAATATCTGATTTATATATAACTGCCTAACAGCTGACTTGGAGAGCAGTTCACTAGCTGATATCATGTTAGGTTTGTTATTGAGCAGACATTTAATCAAACTTAATTAACTTGGATTTTGTAATTTTATTTTCATTTTGGAGCCAGTACATTTTATTTTTAGGACACAGATATTTTCATAAGCCTTATAAAGTTCAAGTGTACTGGATATGGTACAGGCAGTCACCAAGAGGGGAAAAAGGCCCTTTACAGGCCAGTCGCATTGGCTCACACCTGTAATCCCAACACTTTAGGAGGCCAAGGCAGGTGAATCACGAGGTCAAGCGATCAAGACCATCCTGGCAAACAAGGTGAATCCCCTTCTCTACTAAAAATACAAAAATTAGCTGGGCATGGTGGCGCATGCCTGTAGTCCCTCTACTGTCAGTAGCCTTCTGCTACTCAGCAGGCTGAAGCAGGAGAATCGTTTGAACCCGGGAGGCGGAGGTTGCTGTGAGCCGAGATCGTGCCATTGCACTCCAGCCTGGTGACAGAGTGAGATTCCGTCTCAAAAAACAAACAAACAAAAAACCAAAAGGCCTTTTACATAAAATTAAACAAAGCTTATAGATTTGGGATTGGTGTTATCCTCAGTCTTTTCACACCAAAGATATGTTGAAATTCATTCTCGGGTGGAGTCCATAAGATTACTCTGCTATGATTGGCTGAGCTGAAATACTACCACAAACAGAGTCCCTAGCACAGTTTTATAGTGATAGATACATCTAGAAAGAAGGAAGAGAGGCAGCAGAGAAAGGAGGGGAGGAGAGGGAAAGGAGAAGGAGAATTCTGCTATTAAAACAAAGGATTAAGAATCTATTCTTGTAGTTCAAAGGCTGCTCTACAATTCTGCAGGATTATTAATTAGCACTACTTATTTTAATAACAAAGAACATTTTACAACTAATACAATAAAACATTTCACTCTCAATAAACCGCAAGTTCCATTGCTTCCCCCACCCAATGCACACAGATTTCCAACAATTGAAAAATACTTTAGAGAGCCCTGTGTGTGTGCATGTGTGTGTGTATGTGTAGCCATTTGATTCAGCATTTTTATTTTTAGGTATTTAAAGTAAATGGTCTATATCTTGTTTTTTGACAGACTGTGGTAACAGGCCATCTTGAAGGGCTGAGAGAGATTAATGATATTATGGAAACCTTTGTAGAATGAAACAAAATTGGTCTCCAAACAATTCAATATGGGGAAGTGTATGTGTGCGTGTGTATGAGTGTCTCTGTGACCTGTAATAAATACTGAGTTACAGAACACTGTCCCCAGGTGATTCCATTGCACTTTACAAACACTGCAACTATGGGAAATGAGGAAAATTAACCTTGTTAATTCAAAGATGTTAAAAAAATGCTTACTAGAAAACAAAATTTATGGGGAGCTAGACGGTTTACACCAACCACATATTCCTTCTCACGAAAGCAGTACCAAGTCAAGGACATGATCTGAAATTGAAGAAATTGGTAGGAGAAAAAATTTAAAGCACTATAGAACTTCAAAAAGAATAAGAAAAAAAATCTGTCAACACAAAAGAGTCCTTTCTCACTCTCTGAAATTCTAATCCAGTAATCATGTCTGCCTTCTAAAGCACGTTTCATCTGACTATCTCAAAGTCCTTTATGGTATTAAACACTCACTGAATCCCTGAGGTGGGTAAAATTATTCTAGTCATTTTACAAATGTATCTATTCTCTCAAACCTCTCATCCTGGGGAACGATAAGTCTGGGAATAAAAATCAGGAATCGATGAATGACCAGAGTTCTTACTGCTTTACCCCGTTTCATAATTAGTTAAGGGAAAACTCCTTGATTTGCTATGTATGAGAAAGCACCCTGATGGATTGAATGTACATTTCTGACTTGGTGCAAATGACCTCGATAGACGCCAGTGTGTTCTTACTCCTATCCCTGTCTCCACATTTTTCCCCGTCCCTTAAACTGAAGCATTGAAGAATATGTCGGGCATGTGACAAAACAGAAAAATAGAAGTAAGAGAAAACAAGCTCATTGCATATTTTGACATCTTCAGGTCTTAAGGACTATTATGCGGCTATACTCAGTTAGCCATGGGACCTTGCACCAGGCATAGGACCTCTTTGAGCCTCTGTTTCCACCTCTGTAAAGAGAAAGTTAAATTACGCAAACTTTCAAGTCCCTGGCAGCTCCGCTATTTATTACACAATTCCACATTTATAGACATAATAGTTTCTGTATTTTGGCATGAATCTCCATTATGATTAAAAAGAAATAAATTTAAGATAAATATTTCAAAATATTTCCAAAAACAAAAGTGTGGTTGAGAAGCATTTGTAATGCCAAAATCATACTTTTCCCTTCACATGCTGCTGCTCTTCATGGATCCTGTAGAGCAAATACCTGAATTCAGATTCTGCTGCCAAGGCCAGGCGCGGTGGCTCATGCCTATAATCCCAGCACTTTGGGAGGCTGAGGAGGGTGGATCACCTGAGGTTGGGAGTTCGAGACCAGCCTGGCCAATGTGGTAAAACCTTGTCTCTACTAAAAATACAAAAATTAGCCGGGCATGGTCGCACATGCTTGTAATCCCAGCTACTCAGGAGGCTGAGGCAGCAGAATCACTTGAACCCTGGAGGTAGAGGTTTCACGAACTGAGATTGTGCCATTGCACTTCAGTCCGGCAACTCTTGTGAAACTGCATTTCAAAAACAAACAAACAGATTCTACTGCCAGACAGATACTAGTCTACCAAAAAGAAAGTGGACGTCCCACTGGAATAACCCTGTGCTTCTGGCTGACATGTTAGGAATGTATCAGTGCAGGCAATATGACTGCCCCTTTGAAGGTGAGATAAGCAGAGTCTCTGTACCCAGA